TCTAAATGTACATTTATCTATACAAAATTCGTCACCTAAATGCAACTCCATTTTTGCATTTAGAATCTAAATGCTAAAAGCAACCCTGTGATCTTCCAAAATTTACACGATTCGAACATGGTTTAATGATAAAAAGTGGCAACATTGCTTTTTCGAGTATACAGTCGCTAGCTCCGTTTCAGTGATCGCCGATCGAGATTTCATTTATTATATTATATTATTTGGATAAAGAAAAGATACTCAAATTCAACATCGATATGATGCTGATAGAAATCTGGATTAATTTGTGATCAACTCTGTTTGTTTTGTTTCCTAATTAAGTGTGGGAATTATAATTGACAGCACCGACAAATGAATATATACACAAACAAGTGTTCGGTTATGGTTAAAACAATTCAAGTTTTTGTATTGAATTTTCGGTTTAGAATTTTTTTTTCCTTTTCAGTAGGGGTTTTTGCACATTATCTTTTCCGTGAGAAAATATCGTAATAGATACGGATCTGAATAAGCGACTGGAACACGGCTGTTTGTCAAAAGCATACGGTCGGTGTTATGCAGACAAACTTTTGTTTGCCAAATTAAATGGCGGCTGCTTAGTTTGCTCGGAGGTGGTTATGTCGAGTTTGGCACAGGGTTGCACGTTCATTATGGTTTTCATGGCTATTGCCAACACAAAATGAGAATTTCAGATGTACATAACTCGCAAAATTTAAAATTTTTGTATATGACAACACCGAATTTGCTGCAGTTGGACCAAACAAAATTAGTTTGCTGTGAGAGTCGCCAAACTCGCTCTCTCCGAGTTTGCTGCAACAACAATTGCACGCAGTTTGCTAAACAAAATTTCTGCATAACACCGACCTACGATTTCCTCGCGTAAATGTACATTTGCTAAATGCGTTAGCATGAACGCTCTTCGAAAACATATGTTCGAAAGTGCTAAATGTTGCATTTTAAATGCAGCAAAAACGCTGCATAAGCAAAAACAGCCCATAAGGGCCTTTGGTTCATAAGCATGATTCAACAACTACAGGTTGTAGCAATCGTACAAAAACAACATTTACCGTTGGTATGAACTCCTTGTGTCATCAACATCTTCTTTATCTATTCATATTCGTGTGTATATGTATACCCTGCATACCAGGATTTCATAGAATTCTGAAAGGTTTCACAATTTTTTTAAGAATTTTCTTTAAGAAATCATACAGAAATTTCTTTACAAGTTCTTGTCTACCGCTTCATATGTTTTTCTTTACAGATTTCTAAAAGAATCGTAACAAATTTCCGACACTCTTAAAGATTTCGGGAGCATTTGTTTGCAGGGTATATATATACGTATATGTGTATGTGTACGCGGATATGTAAATAAAGCAAAACACGATAATTTGACACAAGCGTGCTCATAAGAAGAAGCATAGCTTCTACCGCTATCACCTGTAGTTGATGCGCCTTGGTTCATAAGTATGAACATGAACGAAAGACACAAGATCACGCGGGAAGGAAAGAACGAAAAAAGTTATTTTCTAGCACCCGATTTACACGATTCAAGTACTTGAAAGCAATTCTTGCTCATTCTCTTTTGTGTTTTCTATTTGCTTTTACACGTTTCAATTCTGTTGAATTCAAGTTTTTGGTTCTTTAAATGGGAAGCAACGAAAATGCCAAAAGCAAAGCAAGAAAGTTGAAACGACTTGACTGTACAGACGCATGCGTACTCGTCCCTTTTCTTCTCAACCCCTCTCTTCCACATGCGAGCAGAATTGAATTCAATACTTGAACTGTGTAAAAGCAGTCTTACTGCCGAAATCTCGACGCCATCTTTGTTGTAAAAAGTAAACAACGAAGAGAACGAAGAAAACCGCGAAATTGTTGAACGCATGAAAAATCATTTTTATTATGCAAATTCTTCTATAAATCATGCCGTTGTGTTAAATTATTCTTTATCTTATGTGTACACACGTTGTCACAAGCGAAAATGAAGAAAATTGCAGTAAAAAGCCACCACCAAATTGTAAAACAACGAAGAAATGTAATCAAACGGCTAGTGTCAAAATCGTTAAACTTTTTTCCTCAATGCGATTCTAACGGGCTACTCTCCTGCGCGTGTGATCTTGTCTTTTTGGTTCATGAAGTATGAATGACAAAATTACTTGGTGACGAACGAAAAGTATCGAGTAGTGATAGAACTTTTTAGAAAAGTATCGATACTAGTACTCATATAGAATACTCTAAAAAAGTATCGATGCCAGTACTCATATTTGCAAAAAAGTATCGATAATACTCGTACTTCCAAATATTCTCAGAGCAAACGCAAGAAGTAAACAAAAATCAGATTGCTTTGCTTTTTTCACCTCTTCCTATTTGTAAATTGAATAGTCACTGCTCTTAATAGTTTTTATCTGATCTAAATAGTTTTACAAGGGTAAATTAAATGTTTAAAGCAAATATTTTATAATTGTTTGACGCGTACATGTATTTATAAATAAATTTACTTTAAAAATGAAATGTAAATGTAGAAGACGAGAAGCAAATGTGGTGAAGCCCATTTTCTATTGGAAAGATAGAATCCCGGGATTTTAGGGATTTGTAATTTACGCTTTATGTTGACCAGTTTTGCCTATATTTCTTTTGTTTATTTAATATTTAACATTTTTTTTATAAATGTGTAGCTCAATATACATATAATACCTTACGGCAGGCAATTTTGCACAAAAAAAAAAAATCATTATATTCGCCAAACCAAGGGCCAAATATAGTAAAATGTCGTTCTTATTTTTCTCTCTGGCGTCAGGATTTTTAAAAGAACTTTGAAATTTGAAAGGTATGAGTAATCCAAAAAATTATTTAAAAATTTCAGTGAAATATACTTAAAAAACAGTATGGGTATCAAATGAAAGAGAAGATTATGTAAAGTTAGAACATATTCTATTTCTTGGTCCGTAAGGGAGGGTGGGTATTGATTTTATAACTTTATCCTTGAATATTCTTGAAATTTTTCAATTCTTATTTTTGAAAAAATGTTATGATAAGTACTGACTTTATTAGCTTAAAAATATAAAATAGATTAAAGGGGCATTTTCAATTCCTATTCGTCGTTGTGAACGCAAAGAAATTATTTCATTTGGCAACCATATATTTGTTTTACAGTGCACTGAATTTTTTAAAATAAATTTTGAAATTAACCATTCTTTAAAATTATAGCGAGCCCTTACTGCCAAAATAACGTAACCGACATTTTTTCAAAATATTCGTTTTTATGCAGAAATGCATCTAGATGCTCTAGGAATATTTCTGCATCAAAAAGAAAATTTTGGAAAAAATGTCGCTTACGTTATTTTGGCGGTCAGGGCTCGATAAAGTCTTTTTAAAAAAATCATTACCTCAGAGAAATGCCCATTTATATGCAGTTAATTACGTGCAATGCGAGGTAGACTTGTATAAAAAAAAATTTGAATTTTGGGTAAGCAAAAGGAATATAGACAAAACTGGTCTAATTAAGGCTTCTTCTTTGATTTCTGCCGCTAGTGTTATGAAGTTCTTTCAATCAGAAAATAAATTTTTTTACTTAATTTTATTTCTGCATCGAGCTTTTTTCGACATACCTTAAATTACTTTATCAGATATGCACACACTAAAGTATTATTAAATGTATATAAATTTAATTACTGTCTTTCGTTTTGTTACTTATGAAATAATTTTCACTTTAAATGAAAAAGTACGTTCCAAACCCATTTACTTAATATCTAATATGTGGTAGGAGAGCTTCTCAAACCATATTGATGCAATTTTTTCATGTTAAGTCATTGAAAAATAATAAATATCTAAATCCCGGGACTGATCCCGGGATCCCGGGTTGAACCAACGACATACCGAAAATCTCGGGATCGTAAAAATTAAAAAAAATTACATGCCTAGAGTATACATATCGTCGTCCGTATGCCATTAACAGTTTGAAAGTTTTTTTGCGAGACTTAGCTCCACATTTATGCAATTGAAATTTAAAAATATTTACTTTCCGTGTACGCATGGTATTCTGAGTTTTGGTATAACAAAGAAAATCAAAGTCAACCCAATAACTCAAAACTGATAAATTGGCACATTCATGCTTCTGGCATGAGGATGACGACATTATAATCTGCTTTATCCTGAGTTTCGCCTGAAAAAAAAAAAATTCACCCGAAAATTTGTCATCCGTCCATAGTAACACCATGGAAACCAAAAGTGGAAAGTGAACCGGTTCGGGGAAAATGAAACTCATGATAAGGCTGAATGTTTATTTCAAATAAATGAAATTTCAATTTATTCCTGCTTTAAACGAAAATTTATTATTAATAGTAGTCGTAATGCTTCTGGCATGAGGGTACCGACATGTGAATTAAAAACTTTAAAGGCGTGTTTCTCGGGTTTTCGGTTTTTTGAGTTATGACAGCAAAGTAGATAAATGAGCTTTATGTTCGTTTTCATAACATTCATATTGGATATTGAAGTGAATATTCGAACGTTCGCTACAATATTTATTAGGTAATTAAAAAAAAAATACTTAAAAAAGTTCTTAACTCGTCGATACTTTTCGGCATTCGCGATATTTACTCAGTACTTGTGAAAAAGTATCGAGTTCACGATACTCCTCAGTACTCATGAAAAGTATCGATATTCTGTACTCGGTACTCGTATCGTTCTATCACTAGTATCGAGTATGTACTTGTTTTTACTCGTATCGTTTCATTCGTACTTTTGGCTGGGTTTCCGTCTCAAATGAGTATATACATACATATATGGTTTTGAGTCTAGTCTAGTTAAACTTTGATAATATAAAGCCAGAATGTACGACAAAAACTCAATTAAGGTTTATTTCTACTAAGATAAATGTGCCTTTCTGCCCTTAGAACAAGCATTTCGTATATTTCTCTCAAAGCAACGTCAGCGTGGAGTTTCCTAGATGGCAGAAGATTTACAAAATTATAAGTTGCAATTACAGCAGGTGAAAAAAATGCGTTTTGAAATTGAAAATGAATTAAGTATGTACTCTTATTTTCCAGGTTGAGGCTGGTTTACTCACAGATCCTAAAAACGAGGAATTGTTAAAGTTGAAAGAGGGTCTAGTGGAAGTCATTGATTTAACCAAAGACTTAATCAGAACACAATTTGAAGAACAAAAAAAGTCGTATATTGAACCTGCATCCAGTTCGACAATATCAGCATACTATGATGAAATTGAAGCCGCCCTTTTAGAGGCAGAAAAACTGGTAACTACTTCACAAAACTGGAAAGTGGGAGACAAATGTCAAGCTAAATGGGTAGAAGATGGTCGTTACTATGACGCAATTATTGACGATATTAGCGTTAATGGAGACGTTAGTGTTATTTTTGATGCTTATCAAAACCGGGCACAAACTACAATTAACGAATTGCGAGAAGGAACCTCTCGAAACGAAGTGTTTCCCTCGTCAAAGTAAGTAAAAAAAAAGAAAACTCTTAATTCGACCTCCTAAGCAGTTACTTGGGGAAATGTTTAGTTATTGGCCCACCGTTTTTTGGGGTGGGGAGGAGGGGTAGGCGCGAGTCACCATAAACCGCCCCCATTCGAAAGGGGACGGGCTCCACTTTAAAAAAAACCTCAGCCTCGGCCTATTTTTGATTCGATTTCTAATATCGATTATGATCTGAGGAGGATCTAGACCTTTAAAATTTATTTATTTATTTATTTATTACAAAAAATAGCCTACGGCTAATACAGTTGTTCTTATATACAAATAAAATTTCAAAATTAACACTAACTCCCCGGTTAAACATTGTTAGCGACGTTCTAACTCCATGCATATAACAGAGAGTCGATAAGGTCGGTAACGATGTTTACCGGGGGATTAGTGTTAACCGGAGATAGAGAAACCGGCCCTTAGACTTATTCATTATTCGTTGCATCGCTATTGGCATCTAGCCATAAACCTATATTCTCTCTAAACGATCCGATGGTTCTTGCATGTTTAATTTCCTCCGGAACGGCATTATACATTGCTAGTCCATTACTAAATACTGATTTCAAGCCCTTACTTGTACGTACAGGTTTCAAGTGAAATTGATTTGCCTGTCTAGTAAAGTACTGGTGAACATCCGAGTTTCGTCTTACTAAAGACTCTAAATATTCCGGAAGCAATCCATTTTCTATTCTATAAAAAAAAGTCGACACATCCCTCTTTACTTCATTTGCTACCGATAAATATCCTAATTCTTTTAACATATTGTTAACATTTTCACTACGCTTTTTGTTCAGCACTGCTCTCATTCCTTTATTAAAGTTTTTCTGCAACTTTGATATTTCTTTTGTATTCGCCATCGAGAGTATTGTCGAGCAATATCTTATATGGGGTCAGTCTAGCTCAGGCAATCGCCGCGTAAAGACGTGTCTTTCCACTCGTTTTTTCTTGTGATTAACCAAAGCTAGTGTTACTTTTGTATTTATATTCTCGCTTACTACTTTACTATTTGTTCTGGTCGGAAGGGTTGTAACGCAAAGCACTTGAAAACCAGTGCAGTGTAAAAATGAATGGGGTTGACCCCCCCTCTTCAAACAGGTTTCGGTTACTTGACCCAGACATTAATCCACCTGGCAAACGCATAAGATCTGACGACTTCGTGCCTCTCCCTCAAGTCAAACATAACGATGACCACATCCCGCGATATCTCGTAGCAACTGCAGTTGGACCAAAAATTGGGGAGCAAATTCGCGCCCTTTCGTCATATAACGTCTTTCATATTGACAAAGGTCTCAAACACGTATGCGCTGACTACTCGGAAGTATCTGCACTAAGATCCGGAGATTTGCTAATCAAAACCCTAAACCTAAAAGCAGCCGAGAAGTTCCAAAAAGCTACCCATATTGGGCTAATTCCAGTCAAAATCACTTCACACAAGGGATTTAACACCTCACAAGGAAGAATATTTTCTAGGAATATCATAAACCTTGCAGAAGAAGATTTAGTTGAAGGTCTAGCTAGCCAAAAAGTCGTCGAAGTTAAAAAGTCAAGCTTGGATGGGAATGAGTTCGAGTGGAGGAGTATATTCCCAACCCAATGAGATGTCGGAACTGCCAAAGACTTGGACACACCAGAAATAGGTGCACAAACATAGAACTTTGCAGAGAGTGTTGCCAACCCCCCCTCACACGAAAAATGTGCCGGAAAATATTGCATAAACTGTGACAACAACACACACTCATCGTATGATCCAGATTGCCTCAGCTTCCTAAAACATAAAGCAGTCAACAAAGTAAAAATCGAACGTCGATGCACCGTAAGAGAAGCGTGGAAGGTATACAATAGCAACCCATCTGCTTACCAAATCGAACCGTTCGCAAAGCGAACAACAAAACCCACAATAGCACAAATCCTAAAAAACGCCAACTCCAACACAACAAAAAAAACAGAGAAGCAAAATGAGACAATAAACGCAAAACTAAATCATAATAAACTATTAAACAATAAACCTCAAGCAGTTAACGGCACACCAATGAATACTGATAGCAATGAACCAACTACGTCAACAATAGCAGCCACCATCAGAAACACACAAACGACTGTCGAAAATCCAACAAAACAAAATGCACAGAAAACCAACACCATCACTAAACACAGCGATTCACATTCACACACAGAAGACAACAGTATAGAGATCTCTCCAAGCAGGGAGCTCTACAACAATTTCCCTGAGTTAAACGTCATGATCACACCTAACACATACAAAAGCACACGGACGAAGTACACTGAAAACAATTAATCCCTTCCTTACAGTAAATGGATATTGGCTTAAATCTCTCAATAATACAATGGCATATTCAGGAATTTATTAATAATAAGTTTGCACTGGAGTACTTAACATATAACAGACAAAACCAAACAATTCCTTCACCTGCCCAACTATCAAATTTTTCACCACAACAAACAATTAACGTACGCAAAGTCAGGAATAGCAATATTAGTTAGAAATACAATAAACGCTTCAAATCACAGGACATCCACCAACCAACTTCTGCATCAAACCGTAACTATACGCGGACTAAAAGACTTACACATCACAAATATCTACAAAGAAACTGACATAAACTTAACGCAGCAGTTGTTACAAGACTTACCAATAATAAATTCAGGGCATCAAAAAGTTGCAGGAGACCTTAATGCGCAGAATACTCTTTGGGGATCTCAATACAACTCAAGAAGCGGGAACTTGTGGGAAAACTTTGCCCATGAGCGAAATTTAGTATTTTTAAATGATGGGCGACCAACCCTCCTGAACACAAGGAACACGCTTACTTCAGTGGATTTAACTATGGTTACAAGTGATTTGGCAGACTGTTTGTCCTGGAGTTGTCCATCTCAAACAATCGCAGGCGATCACTTTCCAATTTTTATGCATAATGGAAACACCCATATTGAAAAAAAAATTATAAGAAGATTTAAGGAAAAACAAGCGAACTGGGAACTCTCCCGTAATAAAACAGACCTCTTTGACAACCAGTTCGTGCAATCAGACAATGTCAACAGAGAAACAGCCTTGCTCAAAAGGATAATTAGAAAATCAGCAAACGAATCCATGCCAACCACCCGATGTCCAAAGCGAAAGAGCTCCCCAGTATGGTTTAATGCAGAAATCAATACACTAATACGTGAAAAAAGGAAAGCCTGGAAGAAATTCAGAGAAAACAAAACCCCGACAAGAACTCTGAATTACAGAAGATTGTGTGCACAGGTAAGAAGAGCCTGCAAAAAGGCAAAACAAGAGACGTGGAAATGCTTCGTAAACTCACTAAACCCGACGATAGATGCCAAGACATTATGGGGCAAAGTAAGGAAGATCAAATCCAACACCATCTCCAGCTTTCCACCGATCTTTACAAATAGTACGGCTATCTCACATCCGAAACAGAAAGCAAATCATCTAGCAAGAGTATGGAGCTCATTGGGATCAAATGACAAACTCGGCAGATGCCTTACACAACAAAAATTGGGTATGAATGTTGACGATTTCGAAAGTGTTGGAAATGATTTAATTTGTACTGTAGAAGCAGTAACACTGGCGGAATTACATCTAGCGCTCAAAAATGCTAAAGGAACATCGCCTGGGAAGGATAAAATAACTTATGCCATGGTAAAAAATTCGTCGAGCGTCTTCAAAATAAGATTTTGCCGGCTTTATAGCAATATTTTAAAAACGGGTATTTACCCACACGACTGGAAGGAAGCTGTACTTATACCCATACCAAAGTTAGGTAGGAACCAGAATTCAGTCGAAGGGTACCAACCTATATCCTTATTACCTGTGCTCTCGAAAATATTAGACAAAATAGTGACGAGAAGACTGTGGAAAGCATGCGATGGTAAAATCCTCAAAATTCAGCATGCATACATGCCCAACCACGGAGTACACACACTTTGCCAACTATTAGAAACGAAGATAAAGAAAAACCTCAACCGTCAAAAGCACTGCATACTGGTTTCTGAAGATCTCGAAAAAGCATTTGACAGGGTAATATCAACGGTAGTAATAAGGGAGCTACACTGTTGGGGTATACCCAAAATCCTTCTAAAATTAGCTTTATCCTTTCTCTCTCACAGAAGGATCTCAGTGAAAGTAGATGGTTTCTTGTCCCAGAATTATAAACTAGACAATGGAATTCCGCAGGGCTCCTTCCTCTCTGTGTTCCTTTTTAATGCGTATACGAACACACTGTCAAAAACACTAAAAGATATACATGGCATTGATTTCGTTGGTATATATGCAGACAACATCTTTGCTTTGTCTTCAGGCACTCAAGAAGAAGTATCTCAAAGCCTCAATTCCATCGACAAAAAAATTCAAGAGTGGTCGGCAATAACCGGATCAGTAATACCGGCTCACAAGATTGAAGCCATTCATTTTTGCAGAAAGAGAAACTGTAACGTATCGTCCATTACACTGAGAAACAATAACGTCGATCTCAAAGCGAAAATGAGAATTTTAGGCGTTACCTTCACCAGGAATCTTTTATGGAATGAACGCGTAAAAACAATCACATCAAAACTCAGTAAAGTGCAGAACCTACTCAAAGTAATATGCTCCCGGAAAAAGGGTCCCCATATCGAAACAGCTCTTGATATATGCCGGTCACTAGCTGAAGGAGCAGTACAACATTGCATCAGTCTCTATGGATATACATCCGAAGCCAATATAAATAAAATAAATACTGCTCTAAATCATTGCTTTAGAGCTGCAGCCGGCTTACTAGTGGCAACACCAATAGAAGAGTCGAAGCGCGCTACGATGACTTCCGTTTGCTACTCCAGAGTCGTTCTGTAAAATTGGCAGCAAAAGCTTTCACAACGGTTTCGCATCCTCTGCATAACACCTTTTGGGATTGTATAACTAGCGGAAGTTCTAAGGTCAAAAGCTACAGGAGCATCTGCAGCATCACTGCTATTA